TATTTGAGTAATAAACATTATTGCTTTTGACACCTCTGATCTTAGATGGAAGAATCTGCTAACAGCATCTTTTTCAATCATGCATTCCACATATCTGCCTTTGTGGAAAATTGAAAAAAGGCAGTTTTTGCTAAGTTCTCTGAACATGCTGCTTCCACAATAGCCAAAGACGGTGGGAGCAATATACTGTGGGAATGCTTTCCCTCAGAGGCAAAGAGAAGCTGATTCAATTTAGTTCAGGTTATTTTCTGTATATAGTGCCGATTCCCAACACACATCATCTCAAGGGACTTTAAAGTGATCATAGTCAGATTGATTAAAAGTTTCTATCTAAGGTAAACCAGCTGATTGGATTCAATCATTAACTTGCAGGACATGCTTCTCCTACATGAGCTTCTGATGACGATATCCACTTACATTTTGTCGTTGACTCTTCAACAATCTGTCACACCGATCCAAGATGAATGAAGCTAATTACAGAGTAGTTCTGGAAGAAAACAACTCGGAGGCCCCAGAAAATATTGGACTGATGCAGATATTCACCTATAAGCTCCATAATAATATAAAACATATATATCAGTTTCTCCAAATTGTTTTTTTTTTTCTTTTTTGTGGAAAGCAAACAGTTTCCCTTCTGCCAAAGTAACTTCAACTTACCCATTTTATAAACTCTCAAACCCTGAATTAATAGGTCGAAGTTCTTTCTGATTGTCACAGTAAATAAGTACAAAATAACCTACCATCTTCAACATCATGCGATTCTCCACCAGAAATCTCACAGCGCTTCTTTTCAAGAAAGAATTAGTTGTATAGCTATATCACCAAACAGAACTTGATTTTGCTGATGATTGCTTAGAAAGACAGATTATATCATATTCTACGTGCAAATGTAAACAAAGAGAAAGATTTTCTAGGTTTGGTTGCTGTCTGAGATGTTACACCCTGATTGGTTCTTACAGGGAACATAAAAAAGAGAAGCTGGGAGAAAGCAGAGAGAGAGAGAGAGTTGGAGGGAGGAATAAAAAAGAGGATTTAGATATTATGAGGGAAAGAAATGCATAAATCCATCCATTACTAAATAAAGGAAACCCAACCCAGTTTTTTTATGGAACTGTAAAGATGCCAAACTAAACCAGGGCATTGGTCCAGACTGATACCTAGCCAGAAAAATCTAATTTGTAGGAAAGAATTACAAAACATAACCCATTTAGTTTCCAATCCGGAAACTAATCTGCTGAATTAATGTCTTTCAGTTTGCATTTTGGGTGGAGTAATCTTTATGAGCATTGGGTAGTGAAGTAGGACAGGGAATTTCTGAACCAATCAAAAGGCTGGGATGCTGGATGTTGTGACTCAGCCCTAATACTGTGAAACTGTGTGGGAATGGATCATATGGAGCATCAGCTGATTTAATGCACTGATGCAATATGTTCAAATACCTCAGCCAGTCCTTCTGAAACCTCAGCATTTTTCCAGTAAATCACAGCTTTATAAATAAAAGTAGAGAAAATAGGAACTGTTCAAAATCTGCAGACAAATCATATAAAAACATGAAGTGAAAGATACATACTGATGCAAATGCAGTAATCATTAAGAATATGTATTTACATTATTTTAGCAATGAGCTGCTCAGTGGCGCAGTGCAGCAAGAAAGTTCTGGGTTCGATTCTCAGCCCGGGGTCTTTCTGCATGAAGTTTGCATGTTCTCCCTGAGCATGCGTGGGTTCTCTCTGGGTACTCCGGCTTCTTCCCACAGTCCAAAAACATGAATGTTAGGTTAATTGGCTTCTCACACACACACTCCTTAGGTGTGTGTGTGTGTGTGTGTGTGAATGGTTGTATGTCCTGTTTGTCTTTGTGTCGCCCTGTGATGGACTGGCGACCTGCCCAGGGTGTACCCCACCTCTTACCCGTAGACAGCTGAAGATAGGCACCAGCACCCCAATTGGGACAAGCGTATCAGATAATGGATGGATGGATGGATTATTTTAGCAAAAAAAACTAAACATTTTGACAACCTTTTAGTGCTTTTTTTAAACATGTAAAACCTTTCAAATAATGCAGAGATAATGACATATTCCTAAAGTTTTGAATTTCCAGTATCTCCATAAGTTTAACTGTACTCTGTTTGCAGGGACATGGAAGAGATGAGTGATCAAGATCCGAACTGTGATGATATGCAGAAGAAGGAACAAAGACTGCCCTTCCAGGTGCGCTGTCTCATCATACTGTAAATGTAAATCATACTGTGACCCTAAATGGTTGCTTTCCATTTAGGGTCCAGATACAGGGAAGAGTTGTACATGCAGAGCAGTCTATGACATAGGATATAAGCAAGTTCTGCTCTGTTTGACATAAACAATTTTATACAAAGAAAATTTTTCATTAAATACCCTGAATTTTACCTCTTTGTGAAGCAATAACTGTGTTATTTTTCTAATTTTACTTCTGAGTCTGTTTTCTCTTGCAATTAAGTAAAAGAAATATCTAAAGATGTGCATTTGTGAATGTAAAGCAAATCTCTGTGTTTATGTCTTTAGTCTTAAGTTATGTCTTAAGTTTTCTATCCCCAATTCTTTGCTGAGATGAAATCACACAAAACAAACACTTTAGTTAACACTTTATAATATATCTGTATTAAATGTCTATGAGACACATTTTAACAGGTTTAATAGATTGCATCTTGCTCAGACCAGAGAAAAGGCTCAGGCTACAGATGGCATTACCTACCATCGGACTTACTTGTTTAAAATGTTGGCCAAGAACAACAGTTAAAGAAGCATTTTATGCAGGGTCACATCCTGCCACATCATAACATCACATTATTACATCATACACACGTTTGTAAATGAGGAGACTTCACTGTCTCCTGCCATCTCGAAATAATACACAGTGTTCTAGATCACGGACAAGGATCCTATTACAATCCTAAATCTTTGTTACGTACATAATGAAGATGATTACTTTTTATCCTGATAGAAGAACTTCCCTAATTAGATAAATTGCTTGGGAAAGCATTAGCCTGAAAACATAAAAGGCAGGTAATATTAGAAAATGCAAGCACATACATGAAAACTAACAATTAATACTAACATGACACATTTCATGTAGAAGGAAAATGACATAAAGAATCAGATCTGTGTAAAACGAGAATATTTTAACAAGTTTTTCTTTCAGAGGGGACTCACTGTTGATAGAAAGAAAAAGATTGTACTCATGTAAGAGTAGTATCATGATGATACAAGTAAAAACTTCATTGCAATAAAATACCTCTAGATTAATTTTTTTGTCAAAAATTTGGTAATGTAAATTTAACTGAGTAGTATAACTAGTTACCTCCCACCTCTCAAGATGGTGCACAAATGTTTTATTGGGACACCTTGAAATTAAGAGTCTCTAGTTCAGAATGTGACATGGCAGTGATTCATGGATTATTAAAGCAAAAGTGCCAGAGATGTTAAATATATGCAGCGTAATAGCTGAGGAGGACATTGCAGACTCTGGGGGAGTGGCGGCCTAGATTTTCTGAGTTCCAGCCTCACTCCCACGGACTGCCACTCTGGGTCCCTGAGCAAGACCCTTAACCCCACACTGCTCCCCGGCAGCCCACTGTTCCCCAAGGGGATGGGTTAAATTCAGAGAGTTAATTTGCTGCTTTTTACTTGTGACAGTGTAATGACAATAACATTGAATTAAATTCTATTCTATTCTATTCAGAGGAACCATGACATTTGATGCACACATTCCTGAAGCACAAATGAGGACAGAAACTTTTATAGAAACTAAAGAACTATACAATAAATTTGGCTTCAACGTCCTTTTGAGCCAATTGATGTTTTCATTTTTTATGCTGATTAAGAAGCTAATAAAACTTAAACCCTTGGATAGAACCATGTGGCACACCATTAGAAAGAGAAGTAGAGGAGTATCTGAAATTTTATTTGGACTAAAAAAAACATGACTTCAAAAGATTCAAAAAAATTGACCGTATTTGACACCCAGCCTGAAACATTTCAGTTTTGGTACAGCTCGTCCAGGAGCATGCAGTGTCCGAGGCCCTGCTGCCATCAAAAGTGCTGCCCTCAATTGTGTATAACTGTTATTACTAAAAGAGCAAGTTAGCTGTTTGTTTCCCAAACAAAAGGCAAAAACCAGTGGAGATCCTGAAAAAAGTAAAGCCCTGATAATCAGGGACACTCCAAGAAGGAAGCCTGATTTTAGACATGACCTCTAGTTGTAGGTTTCATCTTTTTAACTCCTTTCCATGTTTCATGTATAGAAGATCATTTAGCTCCAGTTAATTTTATACAGTAATTTAACAGTTAATTTTATTGCATAAAAGATCAAGAATAATAATGCCATACAAATATTGTTCATCAAAAATAATACTTGGAAAAGCTGAAAATTAAGAGATGACAACAAGGGTTTTCTCAGGGTAAAGTGTATATTCAGTTTTTTATTTTTTGATAATAAACCTATTTTTTTTTTTTTTAAACCACCTCTTCCTCCAGATTTTCCCTGACCCAGTGGAGATTGTCTTGGGCCCAGAGGCATCTCTTAACAGTCCGGATCGAGGAAAAGAGCGCCTCCCCTCCATTGTTGTAGAGCCCACAGAGGTGAGTGAGGTGGAAAGTGGGGAGCTGCGCTGGCCTCCAGAGAACATTGAGATAGAGGACGATGAGGAGGACCTGTTCCTGGAGCAGTGCATCCCACCGGCCAACATCGCTGACTGGGGAGAAGAGGATGAGGAGGAGGAGGAGGAGACATCACTAATCCTGCAGCAGCAGCCAGGCCTGACACTCCTCGGTAAGCCGCTGAACATTTCTTCAGTGTTCAGATATACTTCTATAGTTGCAAAAATTGATCTGCATTAAACAATAAGGAGTATTAATCAAAAGCCCTCACTTGGACTATCCTAAAAAAAAATTGCAAGGTCTTAGTGTATGTAAAATATAATAAAAAAAAGATTTTTTTCAATTTATTTGGTAACCCTATCTGATTTTAAATAGTCAAAAACTCAACGTGAGGCTGTAAAAATATGCTTTTGAACAGTGTATTAAAACAATATTTATACAAGATAAAATAAAATGCTAACTAAACCTCAGGTTTTGTAACATTTTGGTTAAGAAAATACTTTAACAACAACAAACTTTATAAATATATGCATATTTTCTGTGTGTAAAAATATTTTTTGAGAAATTAAAGCAATATGTCATTAGCACCTTTAGCTAATACTAGGGAACACATATTTCTTAATACTCTAAGTAATCATACAGTAAAGATATCAGAAAAACAAACATGTTTGCCTGAAAAACTCTGAATGCAGCAAAGATAAAGACCTGAAAGAATAATTCTCACAAGTCACTGTTTTAAAGGCCTGTAGGTAAGGTCAGCTCGGATTTCTACATTTCTCTATTAGTACATGTTTTCTAAAAAGCAGTGGTTACCCTCACGCTGTTAGGCAACAAGGATGTAGTGTTTTGCAGTAAACCTAAAGAAGAATAGGAAATGTGCACACATCTTCTCCTCTCACAAAGCTGAAATCTTTTGTATTTTTTTTTACATGACCACTTCAGAGAAATATTGAAAAATATAGCTAATTCCATTTGAAGGTGATTGGGAAGTGGCCTTGTTCTTAAATCTATAGTAATTATGCAAGTGATTGTATAGTTAGTTCTTCCCACATTTCATAACAAGTGTAATTGAGGAAATGTTCTTGTCCTCAATAACCAAATTGTCTGGGGATTAGATAACATCAGCTTGACTTTTAAAAACTTTCTCTCAGGGTTTACAATTCATCATGTATTTATAATTATTTCAGGGAATAAATACTTAAAGAGTAAACATTAAGCACATTTTTTTTTGCTAATTAAAATATTATTACTAACTTTCTGTTTTTTTGTAATTTTACATTAGATGTCCTAGAACCCGATATGCAATAAATTAAGGATTGCAGTAAAGTTAATGACTAATCGTGGTCAAAAGCCCACTATTGCTACATCCTGGTTTTAGAGAATATTAGACTTCGAATTTAGTCACTCAAATGAATAAGCTTGGTGTCCTTTGACCAGCCCCCACAAAAAAAAAATTACTTGTTTTATATTTTGGCATATTAAACTGCATTGAGTTATCCTGATTATTCCTATCCCCCATGGTGCCTAGTTTGAATTAAGATGTGACTTCCACAACAAACTGTAAGTTGCATTTGTTTACATGCTAACATGAGATTTCAAATAGTTATCCTCCTTTTCCGAGGCAAGCATTGTGGGAAACTATGTGGGAACATCAGCTAAAACAGCTCATGAAGACAAAGCCTTAGAGCTCATGGAAGCTTAAGGGCTCATGGTGGAGCGGAGGGGCCCGGTGCGTCCTGACTGTCTCTGGTTTAGAGCAAACCCAGATGGAATCAAGTGTTCCCTAAAGAGTGTCATGTCATAAAGAGTTTGTCACTAGTCCAAATCGTGAGCATAGATGCTTAGAAGAAGGGAGTTATCTCATTCTTGCAAATGGGCAACATGGATGCCACCTCCAGGAGACTAAATGGAACTTAAAATGGATGAATTTACATTATAAGCTAGTATTGAATGTTCATTAAAAAAACTAAGGCATTTAAGTTATGTATTTAGAGCCAGCTTTCGGTGATTCAATTCAAATCAGTTTATATATTCACACATGTCATTTCATAATGATGTCCCTCAGGTTTGAGAGCAGCAAGCTGGTTATTTGGGCACCACCTGAGCACCTGGAGTTTGACATTTCATATGGTAAAGATGTTATGTATGGAAAAATGAAGCACCTTGAGAGTTTCTACTTTTCACACAAGCTTCCAACGTTTTTCCTGTGTAAATTCTTAGTCATGGCAACTACAAACAGGCTTAAATTGAAATGCAACCAGATATTTTGAAGATGTTTCGACAAGCTATCCAGGAGTCTTGGTTAGTTCTGTTGGGTCACACCACATAAGCACTCCCATTATGGTTCAAAACACCAATCACATAGTCCATGGAAAACAAAAGGCTGCAACAATCCAGAAGAACAACCTATCCAAGATGCACACGTTCCACCTGACTTGGAATGTGTGCAGGAGTTTGGACCTAGAAGCTGCTTAAAAACATCAGTGCTCAAACTTGAGATTGCTCTGGTGCGAGCTGACAGAATTGACAAAGACTCCTGAAAAGGTTTGGTAACGTCTACAAAGACTGAGCCAAAGTCTGGTTTTCTTTGTGGCTTCTACCATTAGTTGATTAATTTTTTGCAAAGAAAATCTATTCTGCCCAAAATACCTCAATCTCTTGAAAATATTCTAGGCAAATAACTGGTTTTATACATAGTACACAGAAAATACTCAGAGCTTAGCTTCTTTTGAGAGACTTTGGTCACAAAACAATAACTTCTGTTTTGTCTGCATTCAAAATCAGAAAGTTTAGAGTAATCCAGGTTTTTATGCCCTGAAGACATGCCTGTAGTCTCTGTAATGGGCTAGATTCATCAGGATTTATGGGTGAAGGATAATCAGCATAACAGTGGACTCATCACTTTTTACTTGAAATAAGCTGCAACCTGCACAAATCTTGAATATTTTGTCAATTATAGGCAACAAGTTATTTGGCACAGTTTGTGAAATAGCTGGGTGCCCTGTGATATGATGATTCAGATGCTTTTGGTGATAAATGCAGTGACAGGTATATTGCACAAAACCAGGGTTTCTGGACTATTTATGTATTGAAGTACGTAAAGGGTGACGGTGGTTTCACAGTCAGAGATTTGCTGAAGGAACATTGTGAACCTAGTCATTCTAGCATTTACAAACAAAGGATACAAGCTGACAAATGAGGAAGTCACACAGCGACGTCGCTTTGCTCATGTCTGAAGTCAGGTTCAACGAGCAATAAGGCATCTCAATGTATACAAAATTCTTTTACCAATGGTGCCAATTGACTTGGTGAGAAGTAGGGATCAGTCTACTCAGTCCAATCATGATGAAACTAACCCATAATATAGACTACAGGCATGTCATAAGGACACAACAACCTGGAAGTGTTCATTTACGCATTTTTGTTGGTTAGTAGTGTTTCACTAGGGAACTAATTTTGCATTACTAGCATTGAGCAGTAGCCTCATTGCATTATCCCATACTTGTTACACAATCTGTACCTTCGTGTCATCTGTCAACTTCTCCATCTCAGCCCAATTTAGCTTTATATATTTCCCATTAAAAAAAAAGAGGCACGTTTGACAGGCCTGCATGTCGCCGTGCTCTTTATGGGGCATTTGTAAATCACATTTAGTTTAAGAAGATTCCTGATTATCTAGATCTAGTACTGTATGTAGCACTTTGAAAGACGACTATTGGTCTGCAGGTATAATAGTTGGGGGATCACAGAGGAACTGGTTTAAGTTCTTATAAGTTCTTTGAGGTCCTTGAATAGTGTGGGATTTATTACTGAAGACGTTGCAATTGTGGGACCTATTGTTGATGCTTTTAAATGCAATTAATGCAATTATTAAAACTAAAAACCAACCAGTATGTACCTTTCACAACATTGCAGCTGTGTGGTTGCAAGATATGCCTTTCCTGCAACACTTGAACATCCAGTCATCTGAATTTTACCTGATGTTGAAACTAAAACCTTGGCTTGTGATAAGGGCCTTTAAGGCCTTGGCTAGGCTCCATGTCCGCTTTAAGGGCATACAGACATTGTGTGATTTTTTTTTTGCACTTTTGGGCTCATTCGAGAATTTCTTTGGATTGGAATCAGTTTCAGCTTCATTTTGTATACATCCTGTATTTTACAGAGGGTAATGATGGGCAATTAGCCTCTCACAACCACTGCAATCAAAATCAAACATGTTTGAAAATTAGTCAGTCCGCCATGAGTTTATTTCCTGCTGTTGAAGCAGAGTTATGAACTGATTTACCTCAACCTTGCATATTGCACTTTTGCAGATAAGGGAAATATTCTCCTTTTCTGACTTTACTTCCCTGTAGACAAGTCCGACCTATGTGATCTATTCGAGTCCAATATGTAGCTTATGGTTGTACAGTGTGAGCAGTTAAATTACATCAGAGCATCGGGCCGTATATTTTAAGAGCAGACTGTAGACCATCTGGTTTTGTTTTATAGTTTGAGCTGTAGCTGACTACAACCATTGAAAATATGGTACAGTGTATGCCCACCTTAACGAAGATAAGATTGTATCCTATATCTTCTAATAAAACATGACCAACTTAATTACTGTGGAGATACTGGTAGGCCGCACACCTTTTTAGAATGCTCATTACATTGCCGCCAAGGTAACAATGTAAATAAATATGCGCATATATGTTATCTGTGGCCACTTTTTCAAGTCATTCTCCCATTTCCCAATAGTTGTAAAAAAGAAGCTGCATTTGTCTGCCAAATAAGGGGAATCTTTGAATCGAACAGACCACATGCCACTCTGTGACATAATCAGCTGGTGAATTTGGCCTTCGGAAGACGCAGCCGCTGAAATTGTTTTACAGATTTTCAAACCATTTGGTTTTCCATATAAATGGAGTGCAGAATAGTTACATCCATGGAATTTTTACATGTTATTATTATATATATATAAAATAGATATTCTATATAAATTTAATAATATAAAAATTTCGCATTTATATTAAATAAGTGCATGTATATATATATATATATATATATATATATATATATATATATATATATATATATATATATATATGTGTGTATATAGTGGTGTATGCAGTTCAGTGCAGTGAGGAATGCTATGATCTCTATACTGGAGAAACCAAACAACCTCTCCACAGATGCATGGCCTTACAAAAACCTTACAGAAACGGCTTACAAAACCTACAATGCAGCGATTGAGATGATTCCTTCCTGCTATCATTGCAAACCCCACCCTCTAACAGGGTAACAGAACACCTCGCCTGTTCAGCCAGGCCAACAAGTCCTTCTTAACGACCCCCCATTTCAGAGAGATAGACAGGTATGGGTTATTTCAGGCTAACATAGAAGCCAAACGTAACTAACCCAAAGGGGCGGACCCGTTCGTCCGGTTCAATTTGCATGTTTTCTATACCAAAACAAGGCTTTGTTTTTGGTCCACTCTATAAAGCCTCGAACTCAACGCTATTCCTTGCATTTCAAATTGAAAAAGCTTCATGAATAGGAGGCAATACTGTACGTCTTCAAATTTGGAAACAAAATCCAGTGTTTTTTTTTTTTTGTTGTTGCTTTTTTGGAGTTACTCTGTAGAATGTTGCAATGCTATGAAACCTAACTTAACCTCTGTGTCATATTTTTTTTCTTTCTTTTGCAGATCTTCAATCTGATGCATTTAGAGATGACACACCAACACTTCCTCCCAACAGTGCCCCCGCCTTCAATTGAGTTCATTACCTCTGCTGAACCTGTGAGCAAATATCCTGAGATGAATTGTGACAATAATTGTTGAGAAAAAGAACACTACAAAATAGCAAACATGTCAAAGTGATGAAAAAGTGTATCATAAAAAAGAAACACAAGAACAAATGGCTATGAGGACATCTTGGATCAGTTTTCTCAACTGTAATGATTTGGATTTTATTTTTAAATCTGGGAACATGATTATCGTGGCACATGAATATACAAATAAAAAAAACATTTTAAAGATATTTTGCTGACATTGAAGGTTTGTGTTTCATTTCCTGTTTCATGGCACAAATTCTCAAAGGCTTTCAATGATGGAAAGGAGAAAAAAAAACTGACATTGCAACATTTTTGTTCCTTCATTCAAGTTCTGCCCCTTCTCCTTTCACAAGTGGGTAATTTTGATAAATCATTTACATACATACTTTTCCAGAATGTGGTATTTAGTCAATTATTGTGAAGCTAGATGCATGCTACAGTCTACGTAACTAGAACCTGCAGAGGAGTTTGTTGGTTTTGTTTTAGTTTACATGGGCTGGTTTGTTTACATCATCTAATAAAACCAGTCTTATACAAGAGCTACATTTTTGAACAGGCTAAACTCTGAAATAATATGTAAATATGAAAAAACTTGGATAATAATACATTATTGTGTTAAACTTCAACAATAAAGTGTTTGTTCTCCTTCCATGTCAAAGAGCAGGTGTGTGTCTTTTTTGATGATTTATTTTTCAATGTTTTCTTGTTTTCAGTGTTAAATTAATTCTTTTACTTTTACTCTTAAAGCTGAAAGTGTATAGTGGAGGATGTTCTTTTTCTGGGTGGATCACTAAAATAAGTGGTCCTAATAAGTGTCAATCATTCTGGTGATATGTTTAGGTAAGGCTGTGTTACGCTCTTGTCCCCATTTTCACTTACTGTACCGCTGGTTAATCTGATAGTGGAAAAATTGCAAATCATGTCATTTGGTTTATACAAAACAAAATTTTATTTTGTACAGCTTTCATGACATTTGTTTTTTCTTAAAGTGCAGCAGTGATCAAATGTAAACATTGTGGGAGAAAAAAACATGGTGCAAAAAGAGCGTTGATATAGTCAGTTTGATGCAGAGTCTGTGACATGAGTTTTTTTCAACATTCAGCTGTCTGATGGTGGTGGGGAAGAAGCTGTTTTGGAATCTGCTGGATTAAGAAACCATTTTTGTTAAAGTGGAGATGCTTTTCAAAACTTAGAGAATATCCCTCACTATACCTTTAAGCTTCAGATTGAGACTATACAATCCCTTAACAGAAAAAGACATAATACATAAATACAAATGCATGTTTTGAAGTTAAAATAACATTTTATTTTTTTATTTTTTACAATTAAGAAAAGGTTTCACATGTGGAAAAGATGGTACAACACTTTCAAAGGTGAAACTGGTAAACATGTGATACCAGTTCATTTTCAGAGTTAATATGCTTCCCTATATTTGAACATCAATACATTTAAATGGGAAATCAACATGTAAAACACAGCTTGATTAATCCTGCTCCAGCTTGACAGTTGATAAAGCTGTTGTAGAATTTAGGTGTTTAATTAAGTGTAATTACCTGAAAACACTAAATAAGTTCAGGCTAGACTGAGAGTGTTCTGTTCTCAAATTTAAATGGTGAAATCCAATGACATGTAAGACGCCTCCACATGACATGCTCTTTAAGTTGTTTAATAATCAAGTTTTTCTTGCCTGCAAAAATCCTGTCTTCTGGGTCACTTCAACCACAAAACAGGCTTAAGTCGGATGCAACCGGACTTTCACTTCAACTTTTCTAAACATGTTTTGACACCTTTCCAGGAGTCTTAGTTAATTCACTTGAGCGATCTGTACTTGTTTTTAAGCCCCCGAAGCCCCATCCTCCTAAATGCATTACAATTCAGATGTAAATCATTGATAAATGTTTATTCTTTCTTCTTAAAGCAGAAGCATCCCCCCAAAAAAACCTAAAACTGTCAAAACATAAAAAGATTAGCTCTTAAAGTATATCCAGGAAATGATAAAAACAACCTTGAATGAAACTATGTCACAGCAGAAAAGGAAATAAACACATTTATGGGGCAGATGATAAAAAGGCAGAAGTAAAATCCTTTGAGTGGAAGGGAAATATTTTCATAGAAATATTACAACTCCAGTGAAGCAAATTAGGACTACATTTTTTTTTCATGCCTTTGAATCATTAAAGAGAGACAAAAATGGCTGATCAAATGTACACAAAAACAGTTTTTAAAGAAAAAGTTAATATTTTACTTACTTACATTGTTTCTCTTAAAATAGTATATAAGTATTTACAGACCAACCTGGACACATTTTGCAGATTGTACTGTTTCTGCGTCCTGAATTGTTGTCACCATGCAGGAAACGCCAGTATTTTATCTTGAAAAAGTTCATGCCCTCCTACATGTTGCCATTTCTTTGTAAGCTTTCAAAATTGTAAAAATGCAAATGCTTCAAATTGACCAAAGTTATCCAAGCTGAACAGATTCATTATTTCTCTGTGTTATCATTCGGGGAACCTTAAAGTGTCATTAGTCAGAACATGGCATTGACTCCTATGCAATCATATTGATGGTTTCTCACGTCTGTGACTGTGGGTGTAAAGGGGGTTGGAGTAAAATGTACTAATAAATGCAGTAGAGCCACTTCTTAACTTCCTGTTGAAAGTCAGAGAGCAGCATCAACACACCGATCGACAGTAAGTAGGCATTAGGAAATCTGACAAGTCGTCTTGGTTTGATTTTGTTTATTCTGCAAATCCTTACTAGAAATTAAACTGAATTAGTTTTAAGTGACACAATTTCTTTCTATGTTTAAAAAAATGTTATTATTAGTGTTTGAATTCAGCATTAATTACTATCTGCTTACAGGTGTAATTTACCATGGACTTTACTGATGTGCCAAACATATCTGATGGTGAAGATCTCTATGACATCTTTAGGGATAATTACACATTTCCTATATTTCCTGAGGAATTCGTTCCTGAGATTTCTCCCATCCAGATATTTACTCTGGTTCTCTACGCCCTTGTGGTCCTGCTTGGAGTACCCGGTAATGCCCTGGTTTTGTGGGTGACTGGCTTCCGCATGAAACGCTCTGTTACCTCTATTTGGTTCCTAAATTTGGCGCTGGCTGATCTTCTCTGCTGCCTCTCCCTTCCTCTGCTCATGGTGCCCCTGGCACATGATGATCACTGGCACTTCGGCCCGTTGGCTTGCACTCTAGTCAAAGGACTATTCTATTTAGTAATGTACTGTAGTGTTCTGCAACTGGTTCTGATCAGCTTAGACCGCCTGTTGCTGGTCAAAAGACCCATCTGGTGTCAGAACCACAGACGTTCCAGGCAAGCTGCATGGGCATGTGGAATTGTCTGGTGCCTGGCGCTGGTGGGCAGCATCCCGCAGTTTGTCTTTGCACGGCAAATTAAGGTTGGGGAAATTAAGAGAGAATGTGTATTAGGATACCCCCAAGAGACTGTCTGGCCGATTGCATCCTTTCGCTTCATGATGGGATTCATCCTTCCTCTCTTTGTGATCATTATCTGTCACTTGGTGGTGTACAGCACCACTCAGAGTGGAAGGTCACGTGGTCGGGTCAAATCTAAAAAAACTTTGAGGGTCATTATTGCCGTGGTGCTGACCTTCTTCTTGTGCTGGCTCCCCCTACACATCATGGACTTTATCGTTTTGGCCACGAGCCGGAGTTCTCACCACAGTCCAAGAATCTACCTGGCTCATGTGTTGACTGTCTGCCTGGCATATTTCAACAGCTGCCTGAACCCTCTGATCTATGTGTGCATAGGGAAAAGCTTCAAAGACAGCATGAGCCGCTCCTTGCGCCAAATCCTCCACTTCCCCACAGAGGATGCAGCGTCAAAGGGGAGCGCCATTCAGGTTGACACCAAGAGCACCAGCAATGGGAAGGAGACGAGCAAAATCTGATTGACTTCATTTTTACAAACAAAACTCAATTTTTATATCTCTTGATATATATTTAAGAAGAGTTAAAACTGCATCTGTTTTGGCCATTCTGTTTGGAATCCATTGTGAAGCTTATCCACATATTTTCATCAGACAGTCCATGTTGACCTCATTCTAAATGGGTAGGTGGACTCCTGCAGAAGCAGCTGTAGGGTTGAGTAACTCATTATTGAAAAGCAGAATGTCTTGCAAAATTTTTGGATATTTAAACACTCACTTTTCTAAAACTGCCTTTTCTCGATTTAAAAATATTCAATGCCCATAACATTCCATCTCAGTACTGAATGGGAAGGCTTGTCATTAATGTTGCAGTACCTCATACATGCCACAAGAGAGAGACGTTCTCTAATTGTCAAAAGATCGACTTGAATGCATGATTTGAGATTTTTTGCAATATTATTTTTTGGAGACAATAGGTGTTCAGTTGGCATAATGGACCGAAGGCATTTTTTTTTTTAATCTAAAGCATGCATATTTGACAGTTCTTCAAAGTAGATAAGAAGAACGAAAATAAGAATACCATTTTCATTTTTTTAAAAAGTTGAGCTGTTTTTTTTCTTTTTAAAGCAAAATAAAATGTTTTTTTTTTTCAAAATGTTGAGCAGGATTTTTTAAATCATTGTTTTACTAAATGCTCTGAAACTGTTGTAAGAATGTACATTTTTTAGAAGACGTTGTCGTTGGTTTATCCACACATTTAAATGTCATGTTCTATGTAAAAATAAACATCCAATTATATTTATTCTCAACAATTTACTGCTGCAATTATTTTGTTTTGTTTTTTGCCCCAGGACACTGCATGTCCCAAGGGACTCACCCTTTTTTCTGTTGGCAAAAGGGACGTCTTTTGGACCTATTCCCTTTTTTTGTGAGGGACGGATGCTTGCATGGACAAGGTGTGCACAAAAAAATGTTTAGTTCAAGGGCCCTGAGCAGATAGCTTTTACATGCAAAATGCACCCTTTGGAGCTAAGTTTGGTTCACATTACTCTATGTCTGCTGGCCTCCATTCCATCAGTCTCTCCTGCCTGGCTCTTTGGGGTAAAAACATTTATTTTTTTCATGTTTCTCATACATCTCACAAGATGGATTTCAGCATTTTTAAATATCAGGGCCACCAATACTTGTTTAAACGTTACTCCTGTAATCAGTGAGGAGTTGCAATATGAATAAAATTAACTATTAATTAGACAGCTTTAAACATTAAACTAAGAAAAATGGTTTGTTTATTTATAAGACCACTAACCTTCACGTTTACTCCATCATTCGACTCCACTCTTTCATCTGGCCCGGTATTGGGGCTGCCTCTAACCCTAAAGAATCATCTAATATCCATCTATTAATCAAATGAAACATAAATAGCCCAATGAAAATATAATTTTGAGTATACATTCAGGTTCTTGTTTGGGTTAATTTGAGTATTTTATTTAGAAGAAGTCAGTGTATTAAAGTAAGTAATTTATAGAAAAGCATATGTGAGAAAAAACTATTTCAAGTGCACTGTGATAGCCAGGTGTTTTTCTTTAAAAGTAAATGTTCCCTACATTTCTAGCATATGACATATATTTAGTTTTCAACTAAAACTAAATATATGTTTTATACTTGACTCTGTGCTAAGTCAACGTATACAGTTTGGTTTTAATGTTACTATTATGACTAATATTATTGATTGTTAAGAAAGATTATTGTTTGAAGAAACAGTAGGCCAGCATTCAACAACCTTTGACACTTAAAGACCCACTTGGAACACTTTCCACAGAGGAGAAAAAACAGGGACCTACAAATTTTTTCTGATTTCTAAAAAGAAAGATACAGATGTATACACAGTTTTTTTCACCTTTATGCTTTGTATTACGAAATGTATGAAATGAAAAGAAACTGAAATTATTTTGTCTAGCATCAAAGGAACAATATGGGCATGCAGCAAATTCCAGAGACTTTTGCAAAGGAGGCAGGTCATGTATATCAGTAAAAAAACGGACCGGCAGCAGCTGCTGCTGACTGGGCTGTTTATAGACTTCCAAATATTTATGATAATTTATTTTCCCAAGCCACACAGAGCTGCAGCATAAAGTATGTTCACACCAAACGCGTATTTCTCAGCCGGGGGTAAGGATTCCCATGTTATCTCTATGTAGAAGGTGGACCTTGAGTGAAGCTGAGCAAGGAAAAGGTGGCAAATTTAGATAGACACGATTTTGGCGAAGTTGTCGACATTTGATCCCCACCTTGATTGAGAATGAAGTTAAAAAATCTGAACTTTTCTTTATATTCCCTTTACGAAAATCCAGTCAGGGACTACATGTGGCTGTGAGCTACAGAAAGGAGTGCAGCAGAGACAAGTTTTTTTAAAATTAACAATGGAAGATACAACCCAATAATGTTCACAAAGGATGAAGCGGGAATGCTCCTAAGAGGATTTAAACAGACATTATGTAGGTTTGCAGACTTTCTAACAATACTACAACCTGCGGTCAAAATAAAGAACTGCAGCACTCTTGTAATCATCCATGTAGCTCGGGCTCATGCGAGCACACTTCAGAACAGAATAATCCGCTGCAAAGATCACCTAAGAATCTCCACAGAGGTAAGAAAAGTACTTTATTATATTTATTGTTTGAAAAACTAGGTCCTCAATATATTTGACACTAAAATGTATTAAATGGTCTAAGATAAATACAGACTATACTGTAAGGGTTACTATCTTTATTATGTCATAATGTAAATAAGTTCTATCATGTCACAAAAAGTTGTGTCTTTATCAAAACATCAATCCTTTGCTAACCAACTACACAAAGAATGAATTAGGCGACTATAGTCCATTGAGCCCATGTTAGTTTAATTACCTGGACAGCTCATAGTAAACAGCTAGCTGCCAAACCTTTCAATATTAAAATTTTTTTATGAGTTACGACTATGTTTTCTCTCTGCAGTTTTTTTAAGGCACTGATTTCCCCCTGCTCCTGTCTAAACTCCAGAATGCAATCTCATTGTTTCACGGATAGGCAGAGGTACCGCTGCAAATGACTCTCATCCAGATCTGGCCTCTGGAGAAGGTGGTATTCTACATTTAGGTTAGAATACTCAGGTCAGTGACAGGCAACATTCATGTTGGTCCTAGTGCCCCCTGATTTACATTACAACTTCAATGTCTTACCTTATGTAAGAGCAGATCAGACAATGTTGAAGGTGGTTGGTTGTGGGGGTTTTTAGAAAGAATATTGGTGGGGCTTCAGCCCCCAGAAAAGGACTAAATATGTTGATGGTTGACATGCCAAGAGAAAAAAATGACAACAAATTCTATTGCTACTTTGTTAACAAAATGAAGCACTACTTCTATGACTTGAAAACATTTTCTTTTTATTATTTATTGCTTAAAAAAGTAAGCAAAACCAATGCAATGTGTACAAAAAGGTACCAAATTGAGACCAAATTACAATTTACATACTACATTCATTGCAAACAAGGCCACGTGATGATATATACAAAAGCAAACATATATATACAATTGTGTGTTGTCTGGTGCCAGTGTTTTTTAATGATCTTGTGCATTTATGTTACATTTAAAAACATGCATATATGTTTACTGGTTTGATAACATCTACCAGACCCTGTGACTCACGGATGCCAACTTATAGGGGCTTATCGGTGTAGAGAAGCAGTAGCAGACAGAAAATATCCGTACATGTCAGTGATAATCCACATGGTAAAAGAGGTGAAGACAGGGGCAGTTAAAAATAAAACTTGAGGTTTCACTTCTAGTTCAGAGTTTAACAAGCAACAAGTAAATGCCAATGAATCATGTATCTGCGCTGAATGTACTTGTTAAACATTTATTTTTCATCTGTTTATTAGATGCTTTCCTATGGGATTTAAATGCATAGCAAGAGCAATAAAAAGGTTTTAGTAACTACCAAGAAGAGCTGGGAATAAGATATTGCGCAGGTTTGAAAGAATAAAAGAGATCAGTGGAAAACTCTAAGTTGAAATATGTAAATTATTAGTAGCAGTGATTGAAAGAGAGTGTTTCTAAACTTTAAGGACCTATTGGATCTGGTAGGGAAACAGCAATCCAAAATAACTGTCAGCTACCCACACAAGAGGGTCGGAAAAAACTCTCATAAAAGTAAATAAACAGCATGAGGCAAAAGATTTTACTTCTAACTCAGTAATATCTATAATTTGGAGCAAGTCTCAGTAAAATAAAGAGATGCCTGGAAAGGAAAATATCAATACCAAGGAGGACATGAAAGCAGGACAGAAAACATGAAACATTTCATAAAAAAGATAAAATAATCAACAGTCACAAATAAAGGAAATGTTTAGTGCCATTTGAATGAGAAGCATTGAACTAAAAAATAATCGTCCCTAACCCTTTCCAAACATAAGGGAGATCACAGATGGAAGAAATCATGCAAAATTGCACTGTTAGTCATATATGAGTCCAGTTTTAGGGCAAGGTAGGTTTAGACTCTTCTTTAGGAAAGACAAATCAGCTGCAAGTGTAATGCTGTAAATTAGTCAGTAGCTGAAAAAGTGTGCTTGCATATATGTACAAAGGACCCCTCTATTAGCAAACCGTTCATATTCCAATTGAGTTCTAAATACACAAAATGGTGCAAGAGAAGCCCCTATGGTATAATGCAGATTTGCAATATGAGGACATTTGAACTTTACTAATGAAAACATAAATTTGAATTTTCTTAAATGAGGCCAACACCTCGCAGAATCCAGGTCCATATAATATTTTGTTGCTTCGTGGTTCAAATATGTATTTTTTCTTCTTCAAGTGAAATTTGTTAAATGTAGGTCCAATATTTGGAGGTTCTTTTACACAGCCAGAATAATTAGTGTTGCGCATTAAATTAGTTTTGCTTCATATCTGAAATGTTTACCTGTTGTTTTAAGAAAAAAGAAAAAAGGCTCAACTAAGGGTTTTGATTCCATGTTTGTTCTGCAGATAGAGAATTCTTAAAAAATGCTTTAATAAACTTAATTATAGAAGAAAAAACTATTGATACCCCAAGTTTAAGGAAAGAAAAACCTAATAGATTGATAAAAAGACAAAAAAACAATGGAACAGGCCTGGAAAAATGATGGTGGCCCTTAAAAAAAAAAAAAAAAGAAGAAAATAAAGTCACCAAATGGACATGTTGAATCAACGTCTGTCCACTAAGTGGACAAGCATTTTAAAGGTAAAGGTTAGAAAGACCATATCCAAACAGCTTGATGCTCCTGTGGCTACAGTTGCACATATTATTCATAAATAAAGAAGTTGGCCAACCTCCCTTGGAAAATTGGTGACGAAACAAACAGACTGATAAAATGAATGGTTAAAAAAAAGAGCAGAATAACTTCTACAGAGACTACAGGTTAACTTCAAACTCAAGGAGCATCAGTGTCAGATTGTACCATCCGATGTTGAAAACAATTGTTGAAAACAAAGTGTATAAAAGCCAAAGTGGAATTTGCCAAACTACACGTTGACAAGCCACAAAGCTTCTGCGAGAATGTCCAATGGACAAATGAGACAAAAATTTAACTTTTTGCCTAGGCACGTCAGCTCATGTTCACGAAGAAAAAAAAAAAAAAAAGGAAACATATCATGAATAGAACACTGCCCCTACAGTGACACATGGAGGGGGCTCCGTAATATTCAGGGGCTGATTTTCTTCACTTGGCATTGGTTGTCTCGAATCTCTCCAGCGTAAAACGAAATCTCCCACTATCAAGGGATTGTAGAGAGAAATGTGCTGCCCGCTGACAGATAGCTTGGTCTCAGTCGCAAACAAGAATGGCTAAGAGGAGATCACTAGACTATTCTGAAGTGGCCTTCTATGAGCCCTGACCTTTTGAAGGCTGGAAAAAGGCACCCTTCAAGCCTATGACAAGTAGAGCAGTTTGCTCATGAGAAGTGGACCAAAATACATACTGAGAGGTCCAGAAGTCTCATTAACAGTATTAGGAATCTTTAGATTTAAGTGATAGCTTAAAAAGGTTGTGCAACAAAATATTAAGCTATGGGTAACATTGTTTTTGTCTAGGCTTGTTTCATGAGTTCATTTTTTTTTAAATAATTCTATTGAAGCATGGTTAAAAACAATGTCTGAATACCATTTGTTTTTATGGCTGTTGGCACGGGATAACACAAACTGGATGAAAAGAAGGATGCCCATTAATCTAGTAGCTAATGGTTGTCAAGTTCTCTGTAATTTCAACCAGAAAGGAGGTCAAATTAGATTTTTAGCAATAATCATTATGGTTGACGCATCTCATCAAGGGTACAGCCGAGGTAAGTTTGTTTTGGTATTTAGTTTAATATTTGTGACCAAGTAGAAGATAGAAAGAGTTATTTTAATACCTTCATGGTATATGTTCAAAGCAGGATTTGGCTCAAACAGTGGTCATTACTTTAAGAGACCCTGTGCGGAATCGGAGAATCTTCTTTTTAAGAGCATGGGAGGCTTTGATTTTGACAAAGGCTTTTGGCTGAGTTGCAGCACTGGCAGAAGCTTGCGGTGATGCGGATGATGAGGAAGATGTAGAAGCAAGGCGGGGGGGTAGCTGCTGGGGCCACACAAGTCCTCCGCTCTCATCTGAATCACTGGAAAGCGAGCTGGAAGGCGGGGAGTACACCTCACTCATGCTAGACTCTGACTCAACAGGGACGGCCCCTGCGTAGCCCTCCTCGCTCTGACAGAGGGGGACTCGGGCCTGAGAGTCCTGGCGCCAACGTTGAGCAGGCTGCTGGTGGGAATGGGCCTGGGAACAAGAGTGACCGTTGCGAGCTTTTCGAGAAGATCGTTTATGTGCCTGCGCTGCATTTTGGATCTCACCCTCATCTTGGCTGAGCTCCAGGTTGGAACACCACCGTCGATTTCCACTGTGACCCTTATTGGCCACCTGGGCTGGGGTGACTTGGATTTGGTTTTGGGGAGGATTGGTTCGACCTGGGCGTCTTTCTGCGGTGTTGTATCTCTTTTCAGGAATCACTCTCTGTCCTGGGAGGCTGTTTTCAGACTGGGATCGGTTGGTTTTGTTGTTTGCTTTCTTGGATTTCTGTCGATCATTGTGACTTTTTTTAGGAGCTTTGGACTTTGAATTGGGCTGGTCAGGAGAGGCGGTCGCTCGGCTGGCCTTTGATTGTTCAGGCTTATAGTGTCTCGGGGACCGTACAGGAGCATGACAAGCCTGTCCTGGAATATATTGAGCACTGACTAAATTGTGTACTTGATAAACAGGAGGCTTAGGATGTAAATAATGTTGGGGGGATGGAGGTTCACAGCAAAGGTCAAGATTTCCTAAACCACAGTTTGGCTCTAAAGAGGGCAGAGGTGATGGTAGTCTCCCTGTCAAGGGGTTTGGTCTGGACTGGGGGTAGGAGAGAGGCAAATAACAACCTTCCTCAAAAGATGGGGCCTCTGCCCTGCGGGCCTCCCCCTCTGGCAGGTCACAACCCCATTCCTGTCTCTTAAGGTTTGCCGATAGGTCAACATGGGACTGAGGATGGGGGTCAGGAAGGCGTTGCTCCGGGGTTAGAGAGGGAGTTCTCCTGTGTTGGGAGCTGTGTGTGGAGGCCCCACAGTATGGGGGGTCAGGGGTTAGAGTAGTGCGAGGCTGACATGGCCGGGGTAGGAGAGCGTATCGCTGGATGAGACTCAGGATGTAACCCTCCACTCTGAATGCCTGTTGGTAGTCTTCCTCCAAGATCTGATCCTCTGTGGGCTGCTGCTGCTGCTGCCAGGAGTGACTGACGATGCTGGGGTCCCACTGCCAAGAATCCATAACTGACCCCTCCTCTGCAATGCCCTCCAGTGGTGGGTGAGGTGCAGAAAAAGAGCGAGGAAGGCTGGGCCGAACCACTGATACATCAAACTCCCCATTCAGCATGAAGCTGTCTCCTAGTTAGAGAGAAACAACAGAGTTAGCCAAAATTTTGTCATGACTATAATAAGCACATGGAAATTATTTATAAAAATAGTAAACTAAATTAATGAAGCAAAAAAAGTGTATATAAATATGCACCTCTTTACAGAGTTTAAAGTTTTTTTTGCAACATTTAATACATTGGCTTTAGTGTCAATGGGATGACAACAATGCAACTTTGTGGAAGTTTCTTTTAAAATTTACCATCATTCAGTTAATTACGCTATATTTCTAACTTGAAATCTCATAATTATTGTATACATTTGCAATCTGTCTCCTATAAGCTAATGCCAATAAATCAAATCTATTGCAATAATCTACCATCAGAAATCTCTTATTTAATAAATAGGATCCAACTATGTGTAATGTAATCTCCAAGTAGTACAGTCGTTCAATGAAGGCCTCAGTGGCTCATTAGAGATCATGAGTAGTGTTCATACTGAAAACTAACACTGCACATTCCAGCAGTACCGCAAAGCTAAACCTACAGCCAGGGCAACAATAAATTAGATTAGATCAAAGTGTATTTGTTTGTTAGAATAGCCCAGTCAGAGGTCTGTTTGTTTTCAGTCTGCATTTACAAAGCTGGTAGAAATATTTGGATCTTGTTTATTCACAGTAAAATGTTGTTCTCATGATGTAGAATGTAAACTTCACATACACAGACTTCACTTTAACTGCTATAATATTCTATCTAAAGGTCACAACATCCATCGTAGGAGACAATTTTCACATCATAGTTTTGGAAAACCCCCTCCTACCTCATCTTCCTTTGTAAATAATCATCCGCTTGTGTGTAAATAACTCCCCAAAGTAATGTTTTGAAGCAGGGGTTCTCAAGTTCAGTCCTCAAGAGCTACCATACAATTTTTAGATGCATCTCTTCTCTAACACACCTGAAGCTAAAGGCTCAATCCACTCATTTTACTCAACATAGGCATGGTAACGAGCCACTCAATTGATTCAGGTGTGTTAAAAATGCTCCAGAACAGCTTATCTACATTGATAGTTGATTAACAGGCTTTTGCTGAACTGCAGTCATCAGAATCAGCTGTGCTAAAGCAGAGAAATCTCTAAAACCTGCAGGACAGTGGCCCTCAAGGACAGTCTTTGGGAATGCCTGGCTTATAGTATAACATTTTAAATTTAAAATCCTTAGCAATCCATTTGATGCTGAGGGTGGTTATGTGTCACATTCAACACACAGACAAAATTGTTGGTACCCCTTATTTAATAAAAGAAAAAAACCCCACAATGTTTACAAAGATAACTAGAATCTGCCAAATTAATAATAAATAAGAATTCTATTAAAATTAACAAATCCAGGTACGACTATAGGTCCATGCCTCAACAGATTTTTTCTAAAACTCATGGCAAAAACCTGGACAAAAATTATGGTAACCCTAGAATAAGAATTTAATAATTTAACCAAAGGGAAACAATAAATCTCCCATATTATACAACATGTGAAAATAAAATGTTTTAACAATAAGAACCCCGGAGGATGTTTTTGCCATTTGCGCAGGAAAATTCCTCTCGGATTAGAAAGATGACCTTTACTAAAAATCTCCTCATTCAACCTTTCTCTGTATGAGCTGTTCTGGCTTTCCACACCCCGTCCTCCCAAAGGCCACGCCTCTCCAACATCATAAGGGGGATGCTTTCAAACACAGCATTTTGAGAACACATTAGATAAGAGGTGGAGTAAGGATATGGTAGAACTGAAAGGGTTTTTTTTATTTGTGAACCTCATGCACAGGCACCAGGACAAATATGACTGTTACATAATGTTTATAAAGGGATTTTTTTTAATAACCTCTAAATTAAGGTGTGTCTACAATATTGTACTCAATCTATCGGCCTATATATAGGTCTACAGGAAGTCACTTTGCTGTTTGGTGATGCACAAAGTGTCTACCACACTCAACATGGACCAGAGGGAGTGATGTCTTAGACATTTATAAATAATATGATAGACAAGCATGTTAAAGGTAAAGGCTATAAGACCATCTCCAAGCAGCTTGATGTTTCTGTGACAACAGTTGCACATATTATGCAGGAGGAAAATTGATGACAAATCAAAAAGACGGATAGTATGAATGTAAGAAAGGAGCCCAGAAAAACTTCTAAAGAGACTAAATGTGAACTTAAAGCTCAAGGAACATCAGTATCAGATCGCACCATGTATCATTGTATTAGTCAAAATGGACTTAATGGGAGACCAAGGAGGACACCATTGTTGTAAACAATTATAAAAAGCTAGACTGGAATTTGGCAAAGTACTTGTTGACAAGCCACAACTGGTAGAATGTCCTATGGATAAATGAGACAAAATTTTAATTTCTGGCCAAGTCACATCAGCTCTATGTTCACCAATAAAAAAATGAAGAATATCCAGACAAGAGCAATGGCCCTACTGTAAAACACGGAGGAGGCTCTGTAATATTCTGGGTCACTTTCCTTCATCGGACACACAGTGTCTAAAATCTCTCAAGGGTACAATGAAATCTCCGACTATGAATGAATTAAGGAGAGAAATGTGCTGCCCAGTGTCAGAAAGCTCAATTGCAAGTTAAGGGCCTTGCAACAGCATAATGATCCAAAACACGCAACTAAAAATAGAGGAAATCATTGGACTATTCTGAATGGCCTTCTATGAGCCTTGACCTAAATCCTATTGAGCATCTTTAAAAGTAGCTGAAACATGAGACAATTGGAGCAGTTTGCTCCTGAGGATTGGACCTAACTACTTGCTGAGAGGTGAAGAAGTCTCATTGACAGTTGGAGGAATTTTTAATTGCAACAATTGCCTCAAAAGGCAGTGCCACAAAATATTAAGTTAAGGTTACCGTAATTTTTGTCCCGGCCTGTTTAATGAGTTTATTTTTTCTAATCATTCTATTGAAGCATTGTTGAAAAACAATGTATGACTTCTTTTTTCTAACCTTCATAGGAATTTGTAGTTATTTTCACTTTTGTCTGATTCAAGTAGTTTCAGTGATTATTGTAAATTTTCTTTCACTAAACATGAGGTAGCAACTATTTTGTCCAAGTGTGTATTTTCAATCTCTTGACTTTTCTTACCTATAGACTTCGGCCTGTCATTGTTGTAAGTCCCGCAATGGACAGGCTCATTGGGATCTGCTGCGGTAGATTTTCCTTTTGGTGATTGACCCTCACTTGAATCATAGAAACCTAGGACCAGACCAAGAAGACATTTCTTATTTATCATATCTCATCATTATACACATTTTCTTAAAAACTTCCTGCTAGAGACAAATAGTGTTGAACCACCATCTAAAAAAAAACAAAACCCCTCTACATTTATAAACTCTATCATCATTATTGTCTGACTACTATCAAGAAAATAGTTTTTGGTAAAACAATAACTTAAAAATTCAGTTCAATTTAGTTTATTTATATAGCGCCACTTCCCAACACATGTCATCTCAAGGCACTTTACAGAGACAAAAATACAGAGCCATTCTTAGCTGCATTATTGATAACATCTTGACTCCTTACAAAGAGCATTTTCATTTAGAAAAAAATTTAATTACACAGCTAATAGATCTCAGGAAACAGAAACCTTTTAAACAGCAGGAGTTACCAGAACTCGGCCGACTGTCACCGGTTTCTCCTTGAGCTCCCTCACAGCAGCCGTCATCGATGTCAATCTTCATATCTCCCACCTGCTGCTCCAGCGCCTGCATAAGGCCCCATGGAGAACTATGGAGAGCACTCTGCAACACAAACCCATTCTCATTACTTTATTGCTTGCTCCCTCTGTTTTTCAAAATGGTTGATATGCTGATTTTACTGTAAGCATGAGGAAGAGGATGTGGCAATTTGAATATCAAACCAAATATTAAGATGAAACTAATTATGTTCCTGGAAGAGAATAATGTGATCTTTTAGCTACGTGCTTCCCCAGTTGCAGTTCTTTTTTTGTTATACATATATCTCTCCTTGTGTGTTTCTTCAAAGACGAGTTGTGTGTCTATTGATTTGATTGATGGGAAATAGAAGATAAATGATCTGATTCAACAGAGTCATTTCCTTTCATCCTATTCCAAATTATAAAAATGGCTCAAATCTATCAACAGCAAGTGTCAAAACAAATGTTAAAAACAAAGCAAAAAAAAAAAGAGAGAGGGAAAAAAAGCACAAAATTACAAATCTCGTCACTGCAAGTCACTGCTGTTCTTTATTAAAATGCATCCACATGCAGTGACAATATCTGAAACTAAGGGCTTCAACATCCATCAAGGCTCAAATGGAGACCAGTCAGTTTAAACATGAATAATTCAGGATTGTCTGCTACAAAGGGGGATGTTCTTTAACTTGGCTTGTGGTGGTCACACACACACACACACACACACACACACACACACACACACACACACACACACACACACACACACACACACACACANTCACACACACACACACACACACACACACACACACACACACACACACACACACACACACACACACACACACACACACACACACACACACACACCCCACACACACACACCCACACACATGCATAGATAAAGACACATTCTATTCAAATAGGCAAAGGGGATCAATATTACAGACACATTTATGACTCACAATTCCTTTAGAAAACAAGCATATACTCATTGGGTTATATTGAATAAAAGGATTATCAGAATATTATGTAATGTTTAATGTAGTAACAAAACCAATATTAAAATGTATTTTAAGACTCACTGCAATTATTTTGGCAACAGACTGCATGGCGGGGACTGCATCGTGTTAAAAGCCAATAAACACAAATTGTTCTTTGTAAATTATAAAAACGGTACAATAGTTGCTCCTCCTCACTTTTAATACCAAGATCTGGACTATGTATTATGAAAATATAGATGTGCTGTCGTAAAGCATGAAAATATCAGTAGTAGCACCCCCGCACCCCCCCCCCCCCCACACACACACACACACACACACACACACACACAAACACAAGCATTGATTCATTCATTATGGCAGGGCTTAACTGCAACCACAGTACATCAGACCAGGTCTACTGCAACATTCCAAGAGCATCTAAGGCTTAACCAGCTCCTCAGTTTTGGAATGTTAGATTAAATCTCCTGATCCTTGCCTACAATCACCTGAAGCATTAGAACCATTCAACTTTAGACTAAAGTGCCTTGCTCAGCCCTACAGGACTGCAGTGAGCACAGCCTGGGCAGTTTTAAAAGAAGATGCTGGTCTGGGAGAAAACGCATCACTACACTGTCCTCTATTCACTTTTGCACTAATGTTGTCCTACCTATGAAGACTATCAATGATTTTCCAAACCAGAAGCCAGCACAGTTTGGACCCTGCAGAATGTCCATGATGCAGCCAACAGATCAGCTGATGGACTGGCCTGCAGCAGGACTCTGGGAGAACTAAAAATGTGAATCCAGCAAGCAAAGTTCAGGTAAGAGCAGCGAATCTAAGACCACTCCAACAACAACAACCTAATAAACATGTGGAGAAGCACCAGGACCATCACAGATCTGAAGCATAGTGATCAGCGGCTCTGACTCTTTAATCTTCTTTATGTGTTTGTCTGCATCTGTATATAAATATATAAAAGCACATACATATAAAAACAGAACAATTTTAGCAGGACTGGATAAGCCACTGCTTCTTTCTGTTTCCTATTAAACACCCACTGTTGGGGTTACTTTCTGTTAAAGTCTGGAATTTCTTTTTCCATTTTTTGTTTTTTCTTGAACATAAAAAAAGCAATGAAGAAAAAAAAGAAAGAAAGAAAGACTAGTCACAGAGCAAGTCTGGTCAGACTGTTGGTTTTTGTCAGACTGGATGTGTTAGATGGTGACATCATCTAACACACACTAACATATGTAGTCACTTGCATTCAAGCTTGTCTTGGTTTGTTAACACACATTGTTGTGTATCTGGGACTTCTGAGCTACAATTCAAATATAACTAGTTGGAAAGCCTTAAAACCTACCAGACATCAGCAGTCTAAATGTTCTCTTTTCCTGTCTTTTCTTTTCTCCATACTGGGAGCCTGTAAAAACTAAGTAGGGTTGCTACAACATAAGCAAAGCTTAAACTCAACACATGCAGCTGTGCAAGCAGCTGTTTGTTGGAGGCAATGCCACTGTCACTCAAGTCTTCATTCAGGAGATTGAACGTGTCCTCGTGACAAGGTTACACTATTTTTACACTCCAGACCTTCTTTAATGAAGCGCCTGCTGCTGCCAGCAGCTCTCCTGCACATCTTTGGTCACTGTCTTTGTTTCCCAGCGCCAAATTAAACACTGCTGCAAGGAATGTACACAGTGAGCAACACAGTTGATGAGAAATCACTGAAAAGCTCATTAATCACAGTGACAGACTGTGTGTTTTTCCTTTTTTTTAAAGACAGTTCCCTATTTTTGAGCAAACTGCTCATCTTTTAGATTTTGCACTTTTTTTCAGAAGATTAATACAGACACTGATCTATCAGAACCAGTTCTCATCTAATTGATAGCCAAACTGTTTGTTTAAACCTCTAGATAAAAAAAAGCTCTTTAAGCATACAGATGAAAAAACAGGTTGGCATTGTTGAGGAATTGTGTTTTTTCGTGTGAATTCTTTGGAGCGTTTCAATAGCATTCAAGGATCAGTTTGTCTCAGGCATTTTTTTCAATCAAGAAAAATAATTGTATGATTTTGTAAAAAAACATTCCACTGATTTTAAAGAACTTCCATACCTCTCACCTCTCATATATGGAGGATAACACAGGAACAGAAAAGAGAATCATTGTAAAATAATTGTTTTTTTTAAACAAATAAATCTTTCAAAATGAGTCGAAAATCTACAGATAAACCCACCCAAGCCACCCAAAACACTTTAATTCCCAGGATTAGGAAACAAATGACATCTTGGCTTCATGAGAGGAAGTAACCCAAGTCTGAGTCATGAAAACAACACGGTTCTTGTCATGGGATCAACAGATAATGTAAGTAGTTATTCAGAAACCCCACCAACAGGAGGAATAATCAAATTTAAGGATTCTGTGGGAGGAAAGGGTAATACCAGGATAATATTCAAAAACCACATTAAAAATCATATCATCAATGAAGACATTCCTTTAAAAGGTTCTTCTTTATTATTTACTAACAACATTTAGGAGCCATAATGACAAACTGCATATAGGTAGCAGTACTACGGGAGGAGATTAAGTTAATATCAACATTTTAGGCAAAAGGGAGAAGAAAGCTAACTGTATTAGTCTTAGACTTACTGGAGGAAAGCAAGGCTCTAATATATTTCCATTCACTGTTGCTATGTTCCTAACAATCACTGCATGGCTCCACAGGGAGAAACATGCTTCCTAACAGCCAAACTCATCAGAATAATAATGTTGGTCAGAACTGAATAAATGACATAATCTCTAATATTATCAACTGCTTTGCTTTTTAGTTTAGAGTTTTTTTCAAACAATACTCATACCGGACTTGTTTAAGGGTGCTTTGTATATAACCTACTTTGATAAAAATATTTTTTTCTGATTTTCCCCTTTGTTTCTTTCCCCTGTTTTTGTACTAATGATCGATTTTAACGTGTTAAACACACACATATCATCATTGTTCATTGAAAACTAACAACTGTGTTTCTTGCTTTCGTTATTCCAACTTTTCTTGAAATATTTCTTAAATTCAGATACACAAAAAACCATAAATAATGAAGAACATTTTGATTGTTTAGCATCTTTCACAACTTAAAAAACCCCCCCACAGAAGCTAGAGATAAATGTGCAGGCTCCTCACCTCCGCACTCTAAAGTCTGTTTGCCCTGTTTTGTCCCATATGTGGTCATAATTCAAACAACTGCTGTTGTAGGGCAAATAACCCAAGCCATGCTTCTGTGACCTCTTCACCCCAAACACTGTCCTTTCTTTGTTTTGACAAGGCTGCGTATTGTCTTACTGTACACAAAGCTCCAGCATTAATGCATTTTGAGTGGAGATCTTTGTTTTGGCTGCTGAAGGGCAACTGGGTAAAAAAAAAAAAAAATGGGATGGAGGAGGGGAAATTATTGGAAATCAACTAATCAATGATTCGGTTTCACGCAATCGATCGTTTACAACCTCTTTAGGTGCACATACTCAAATACACACAGTGCCACACAAAGGAAAATGAAAAATGCTCATTCTGAAAAAATAATCTGTAAAACAAAAAAGAAGAAAAATATTTAGTTCATACAAAAATCTTTTGTTTTTTTTCAGATTCCCTGACATGCCTGACAGATCTCACACTGGCATGCTGACAATGTGTGCACTGTAGCACTGCTGTTTTACTGCATCCTGTGTCCCACAGAGGTGGGGGATGTGGGAGACAGCAGACGCACTGAGGCCAGACTCTCTGAGAAAGCAGAGCTTTTTACACAGCGGGCAAACAAAACATCTGGGATTCGAACATCTTAAACGAAGCATGTCCATAATTGAGTCCAGTTATGAACAGACCCATATAACAAGTAGAAGACGAGTAATTGTTTTTCAGCAATAAGCATTAATCAGTTCAGATTAAAAAGAAAAGAAAAAAGAGCTGGATATTTTATATCTACTGTAGCAACATGAATATAGACTGAAATCAGCTGTTTGTCTGTTAAAAAGGAGTCTGTCAAGTGAACAGATGGGACAGTTTTGTAATTTCCACCAGAAATATATAAAAACTGCCCTATTTGTCCACATCTAAAACATCC